CACTCTTTCTCTCCCCACCTTGTGAGGATGTGGCAAGAAGGCAGCCATCTGTAAACCAGGAAGCAGGCTCTTTTTAGACACCAAATCTGCCAGCACTTTGATCTTGGACTTCGTAGCCTCTGAAACTGTAAGAAATAAGTGTTTGTTGTTTAAGTTGCCTGGTCTATGCTATTTTTCAATAGTAGCCCAAACTAAGACACAGAGAAAGAAAGAAGATCCAGAGAGGATAAATCATTTGCATAAAGACACACAGGTAATGGGTAAAGAACCAGCATTGCAACACCCCCAATTCATCTACCCCCAACCCCCTTTTACATTCCTCCTAGACACAACGTATCCTAAGGATAACTAACCCCATTTTCTCCCTGCAAAGATATCATCATTTCATTAAAGCTCCAACAGATGGCCCTGACCGACCGGTGTGTCTCAGCTGGTTGAGCGTCGTTCTGCAAACCAAAAGGCTGTCTCTTCCATTTGTGGTCAGGGCACATGCCTGGCTTGTGGGTCTCTGCTCACAATGATGTTTCTCTCCCTCTCTTTCTCCCTCCCTTCCCCCTCTCTAAAAATAAAGTTAAAAAAAAAAAACCAGCTCAAAAAGATGAACAACGAAACCCCAGACTCCCATCTTGAGGATCTGTTTCCTGAGGCCACTCTTGGTACCAAAAACAACTATAGCAGCCAAGGCCCAACCAACAAATAGCTACTACGAACTTGACGTAGGGGACTGGCTGCACAGGCGATGGAAGACCTGAGGGGCCGCAAGGGAATGGTGAGGGGAGCCAGGGATTCGCATCAGCAGGAAGCCTCAGCCGTACCTGGGATGAAGAAAGAACAGCAGGAGGGGCGATGTCAGTCAAGGGGCTGAGCTCACCCCATGGAAGCAGAAACCACAGCACATCTGTCAAGAGCTGCGGCCACTTCTGGAGAAGCACCCGAGAGCGGAGGCAACGGGACGCACCGTGTCACGTCCCCACAACATTCCCTCTCCACCAGTGTCTCAGAAGAAGCCACTGAATACCACTAACCTCGAGGCCACTGTCGGTACCATAAAGGTCAACTTGCAGCCACTTGGTCCCCTGTCACTGACTTCAGTTGGATCGTCATCACTGTCTACATGGGTAGTCGTGTATCGAATACAACCATGATACCACGGCACGCTGTGGGTTACTACCATCCCGTGTCTGGTTGGCAAGGAGCTCATCCCTGCGTTCCAGCGCTAAAAGCCCATCCTCCAAACCCCATCTTTGAGAATCTGCCACCTGTTGCAAATATTGGTGTCAGTCAAGGTATCGTCAGGTGACAAAAACCACAGCAGTTATTTTAACAGAGATGATTTCACATAAAGAAATGCTACAGTAGGACCCCTCCCCCCCGGTTTTTATTCGCAGTTTTACTTTCCATTGTCAACTGCAAGCCAAAAAGATTTAACGGAAAACTCTAGACATAAACAATTCATTAGTTTTAAGTTGGGCACCATTTCGAATGGCATGCGGGTATCTCCGGCGATCCAGCTCCATCCTGCCCCGGCCACGAACGATCCCTTTGTCCAGCGTCTCCACGTCTTAGTCGCTCAGTAGCAACTTGGTTATCAGATCGACTGTGGGGGTATCACAGTGTTCAGTGAACCCTTATTTTATTTTATATTGGCTCCAAAGCCATTCATGTGACTTTTATTACAGTGCAGGGTGGGAGGAAAGTAGGCTTACAGTTGTGAACGCACATAACACAGAGGTTATTCTTGTATTATTTATTATTCTTTTCCATACGAACAACTGTAAGCCTAGTTCTGTTCTATTATTGCCTATATCATTAATTACTGTTAATCTCTGAATGGGCCTAATTTATAAATGAGACTTTATCATAGTATGCAGAGGGAAAAAACATAGTATGTATGTATGTATGTGTGTGTATGTGTATATATATATATATATATATATATATGGATCCCCTCACCATCCCCTTGCATATATATATGGTTTGGTATATATACAAGAGTATACCCAGGGTTTCAGGAATCCACTGGGGATCTGGGAACACATGCCCTGCGGGTAAGGAGGGAACTACTGTACTTAGGTGTGAAGGGTTGGTAACTAGGTACCCAAAAAGGCAAAAAGAGAGCCCTGCGGTATCACAGTCTGAATCACTACAGGAAGCAGCTATCGCCCCTGGAGCAAGAAAAACAAAGGATAGACCTGATTGGTGTGACTCAGTTGGCCTTTAGTCCAGCGAAAGGTCGCCGGTTCAATTCCCGCTCAGGGCACATGCCTGGCTTGGGTGCTTAGTCCCCGGTTGGGGCACATACAAGAGGCAAGCAATCCATGTTTCTCTCCTTCTCTCTCCTTCCCCTCTCCTCTCTATAAAAAAATAAATAAAATGTTAAAGAAAAACCCAACGGATAAAACTTAGAGTTACTGAAACTAAACACTTGGATGAGATTCCCAATGGAGATGACACTCACGCTGCTCAGCGGGTGCAGGTGTGTCTGAGCGGAGGACCCCCAGGCACCGGGACCTTCTCAGGAAGCGTGCTGGGGAAACGGTGCGGGCGTTTCTGAGGATGTGCAAGATTTGGAAAAACTGCAAACTAGACTTACCAGCAGCTACAGGAAGGAACCGCCTCAGCCAGGGTAAAAAGCTGTGCTGGGTTACGCTGATGGGAACCAGAAACTGACTGGAAATAAGCGTTGAGCAAACAGGAAGGAGGCGTTCGTTTTATTTCCCCCAGGTGTCCACGGTCTCTTTGGTGCCCCCTACTGGCAAAGTGTCGCACAGCCGGCAGGCACAGAGGAAGTGCGGTTTTCAGAGTCCCAGTGTCCGATTCTCAAAGCCCAGAAGAGGGAAGTGGGATTTGAAACCAAGAGATAACGGCTTAATAACTGGCACACAGAAGAGTGTGCCAAGACCAGCGACGATGAGTCATCCAATCCGTTCCTCTAAGACCGAAATATATTTTTAAAAGAGTGCCTGATGACATGAAGGACTATTTTCCTGTATACGTAGCCTGAATGTTAGGCTGACATTAGGTCTATCCATATGACATTTTTAATGCAACCTCAATCAAAATTTCAATTAGATTATCTTGTAATTGATTTTAGATTGACAGGAGAAGGGAAAGGGAAAGAGATCAAATGCATTATTCCACACATTTAGGCATTTGTTGGTTGCTACCAGGATGTGCCCTGCCTAGGGACTGAACCTGCAACCTTGGTGCATCAGGATGATGCTCTAACCAACTGAGCTACCCAGCCAGAGCCCCAGTGAGTTTATATTTCTTAGGATTTAACCCAATTACTTAAAAAGTCTTCTGAAGAAATAATTAAGTGAGGTAAGGAAAAAGTTTTTTTCTATAAAGAATAAGATAGGTATAAAGCCAATATATTAAACTATAAGGTAAGACTAATCAGTGTGGTCCTGAAAGAAGAGTAAAAATTTGATAAACATTAAAACTTCATATATATATATATATATTTGGCAAAAGTCGTCATAAATCAAACAAGAATAGTGAAACTATTCAAAATATTACTTTGGGGATTAAAAGTATACAATTCAGTGTCATTAATTATACTCACAATGTTGTGTAACTATCACTACTATTCGTTTCCAGAGCTTTTCATCATCCCCATGAGAAACTGCACCCATTCAACAAACCTCCTCATTCTCCACTCCTCCCTCTCCCCAGCTCCTAGCAACCACTAAGAATATCTTTTCATGTGCTTATTGGCCATTTGTATATCTTCTCTGGAGAAATGTCTATTCAAATCCTCGGCCTGCTTTTTAATGAAGTTGTTTGGGGTTTTTGTTGTTGAGTTGTAGGCTTTCTTCTGGATATTAACTCCTAGTGAGATAAATACCTTGCAAATATTTTTCTCCCATTTTGTGGGTTTTCTTTTCCTTCTGTTGATTGTCCTTTGAGGCATAGTTTTTATTTTTACTATAGTCCCATTTATGTACTGTTTTCTTTTGCTACCCAAGAAACCATTGCCAAATTCAATGGCGCGAAGTTTTTCTCCTATGGTTTAAGAGTGTAAAGTTTCAGCTCTTACACTGAGGTCTTATATTTAATCCATTTTGAGTTGACTTTTGCATACGGGGTGAGGTAAGGTTCCAACTTTGTTCATTTGCACGTGGGGATCCAGTTTTCCCAGCCATTTCTTGAAAAGACTGTCCTTTCCCGCACTGAGTGATCTTGGCACCCTTACCAAAGCTCATTTGACTACGTGCACTAGAGTTTATTTCTGGGCTCTCTATTCTACCCCATTGGCCCATATGTCTGTTTTTATGCCAGTATTACATTATTTTGCTTACAGTAACTGTACAATGAGTTTTGAAATCAGGAAGTGTGAGATCTCCAACTTTGTTCTTTTTCAAGATTGTTTTGGCTCTTCAAAGTAGAACAGATTTTTCTTTTTCTGCAAAAAATGCCAGTGGAATTTTGATCGGGACTGCACTGAATCTGTAGAACACTTTGGATAGTACTGACGTTTTAGCAATGTTAAGTTTTCCAACCCAGGTTCACAGGCTGTTAACAACTTTTAATTATGCAAGTGGCTCACAGTACAGGCTTAAATATTCCTGACAACACCACGTTAGTTCGCTGAATCAATAATATCACGTTAACTAGACAATAACTGGTAAGTGCATAGGAGGTTTTCATAAGACACGTGCTCTCCAGAGCATGGACAATTGGTGTTGGGGCAGCAGGAACTGGACTGAGAGTTTGGGGGACTGTTTAACGGGGAATGGTCTTGGGTGGTTGGTTAGCGTGACTGGAGGTGGGAACGCAGTACACCGGGCCGGTAGTAGGGGCTGTCACCGAAGTTGTGATTGTAACCGGGAACTCATGGTTGGGCCTGGGGATGGATGAGACCTTCCCTCCTCCTCCGCCCCTGCCCAGCCCAAGAGCATAGCAATACCACACACCCAACTCACACATCTTTATTGGCCCAGATGTGGGATTTTCAAACCCAAGCAGGCTACCTCTCTCCTGCACCAGCCCAGCCCTAAAGACCCTCCCACTAGTTCCGGGGAGACCAGCTCCCTGTTGGAAGGGATCAAAAGTTGGTGGATGGCGTGGGTGCCCTAGAGCCCCTAGCGTGGCAAGGGAGAGATCCACACCTGCTCCCCGAGTCCTCCTGCCCCAGCCCTCTGCACCCTCGCTTAAGCCGCTGCCCCTCCTGGAACAGGGAGGCCACGTCCACCAGTGCATCCTCGATGTGCTGCCCCAGCCGGTGGGAATCCTGGAAGGAGAAACGGGTCTCATCCAGGGGAAGCTGGGAGAGGGGTTCGTGCAGGCTGAGAAACGAGAGGGCTGGGGTCCCTGACTCTTGGGTCTGAGGGAGAAAGGGCTGGGGACTGGGAACCCTGGCCTGTGGGGTAGGAGGAGTCTGGACTGTTAGGCTGTAGGAGAGGAGGAAGCTGGGAGTCCAGAATCCTGGGTCCAGAGAACGGGGTGGCCGGATGGTGGTGCTGGGTGTTCAAGTTTGTCTCACCGTTTTGGTGCTTGATTTTTTGCTGGAGATGTGGAAGGTGATGGTGTCATCTCCCATGAAGATGTAAGAAACACCGTAACCATGGTCATCGACCTGAAAGGGGACGTAGTGAGGAGAACAAAATATCCCCAGGTCCCCTCCTACACCACGAGGTAGAAGTGCAGACCCTCCGACCTCAGGGCCCAGGGTTCAGGGAGCCGAGGTCGGGCCCAGTCCCACTCACAGGCCCAAATCCACCACCAGAGGAAACGTAGTCAGGGTAATTGTGGACGTCGAACAGGTGGGTTTGCTGAACAGGGATCTGACTGGTGGCCAGCTGCCACTGCTCCGAGTGAACCTGAGAGACAGGAGCCGGTCACACATGCAATACAGACAGACCGGCAAGTCCACGTCCCCTGGCTCAACTCCACTCCACAGAGCCCCATCCCTTTCTGACCTCCTGCCCTGGCCGCCCATTTTTTCGACATCTGCCCGCATCTGATTCCCCTTCCTGACCACACCTCTCCGCTCTCCTCCTTGAACCCGCCTTTGTCTCCTTCTCCTCCTGACCCCGCCCCTCTCCCCTCTGACCCCGCCCCTCTCCTTCCCCTGACCCGCCCCTTTCTCCGTGACCACGCCCTCCACCACGCCCCTTTCTTCTTGCAGACTGTCTCCTCTTCTCCTCTGACCAGCCCCTCCGTTTTCTTTCTACGGCTACGCCCCTCTCGCCAACTCTCTGCCCCTTTTCCAAGTCTGCCCTCTCCCTTACTCTCCTGTGCCGGTCTCCCTAGCTCTCTGCTCTGCTGTTACCTCCTTTTTTTCAACATCACCCTCCTGGCCCCCAAGTGCCTCCCCTTTTCACGTGGTTCACCACTGCCCTCTCTAGCCCTTTCCCTGTACCCCAACCTGATCCAGAAAGGGCGACTGCAGGTGGAGGAATTGGGAGACGATGTAGAGTGCGAAGAGGTGCCGGTCGACCCCCTGTCCGCTCATTGCTGCCTTCAGCAAAGCCTGGTGCCTATCCACCGCCAAGCGGAACAGGGCAAGGCACTGTGGGTCCTGGGGTCCCCGGGGAGGTCACATACCATGGAAAGACAGGAAGTGGGCTTACTGCTGGGGACTGTCACACCCCTGGCCTCAACCCAGCTTGCAACATCCCTGCAAGGCAGAGATAGCAACTCTATTTTACAGGGGGGAAACCGGCTCAGTGAGGGGGGGAAGTCACTTGCCCAGGGACACAGAGTAAGGCAGCATCAGACGGGCTCCCAGGTCTGTCCGCCTCTCCTGAAACTCCTTCCATTGACCCACATAGGCGGGGGGCGGGGGAGGGAGCAGGGGTGCCTGGGGGTCTGAGCAGTGAGGGTATAGAGGGAACATGAGCAATGGTGCAAGTGGAAGTCACAAGGACACATAGGGGTTAAATAACCAAAGAGGGTCGCATGTGGCAAAAGAGCTCCCTCTTGGATGCTCCCCTGGTGTCCTGTGAGACCCCCATGAACGCATGTATCGCACTGTGCTGAACTATCTGTTTCTCCCCATCAGTAAGCTCCCTGAGGTCAGAGGCCAGCCCTCGTCCCTCCCTGTCCCGAGTGCCCATCATGGGGCCTTGGGCCTCGGAAGATGCTCCATGTCTGCAAATGTATGAGTGAGGATGTGGAGAGGACCGGAGCCTCAAACGAGGCTCATACCCACTGTCTTCTCTTTGTCCACCATGGCTCTCGCAAAGTTGCAGGCTTCCCTCATGCAAGACCGCACCGTCTCTGTCCGGCCTTCCAGGAACAAGCGGGTCATCGTCGACTCATAAGTCAGGCAGAATCGACCCCTGTCCTGGGGGACAAGGAGAAGAGAAGCCTGTCGTCTTGCCTCAGGAAGTCTTCACAGACGCGACCTGCCTCTGGACCCCCAGCCTCCTCCCGCCCAGGAATGTGTGACTGAGAGAGAGGAATCAAGATGGCGGACCCACAATAGCCAAGAACAGTCATAAAAGGAGTTGACGGGGCCGGTTTGGAGACCCAAGGAACCGAGGTCCTGAGAGGGGGCTGGGGTCAGGAAACCCAACTGACCCGGAAGTGGGCCAGCTGCAGGGCCACCTGAATGAAGCTGTCTGAAGAGAGGTGGCAGCGTTTGATGAAGCTCTTGCCGAAGTGGGAGAAGGGAAAGACATGGCAGTCAATGTCTCCGGACAAGGTCTTGGCTCCCCTCAGGGCGAGAGAGATGGATCGGTGGATCTGCCAGAGAAGGAGGAAGGGAGGAGTGGCCAGGGTTAGAGCGGGGGGTGGGGCTAGAGTTCGGATGGGACTGGAAGTGGCTGTGGGAATGGAGTTAGGGCTGGGGCAGATAAGGGAATCCGGGGCGAAGAAGGGAATGGAGCCGAAGGGCTAGGTTAGAGATGGAGAGAGGGGTGTCCCTGAAGGTCGGGAGGGGGTTGGGGTGGGGGCTGGGATGGAGCTAGGACTGGGGTTTCAGATGGATTCGGTGCTGGACACAGGACTGAATTTAGGTCTGGTGATGGCGCCGGGATGGAGGTGAGTTTGGGGTGAGGACGGAGTTGGGGTAGCGCTGGGGAGACGTGGGGTTGGGGGTTGAGGGTGGCATTGGTGGTGGGGATAGGGTTAGAGTTGGGGTTGGGGACGGAGTGAGGGATGGGGTTGATTTCACGGTTGAGATTGGGGGTGGGGATGAGTTTACAGTCAAAGCCCGAGATTTTGGGACTCAGGAGAGGCCTGGAAACCTGGACTCACCTTGTCCGGAAGGTCCCAGTGTAGCCGCTGGGGCTGGGGCAGTGAGGGGTCAGGATGCCCCTTGCAGTGGCCGTCCACCGAGTAGCCCAGCTGAAAGCATTCTGTGGCCAGAGTGAACTGTGTACAAATGGAGGCTGTCAGAGTCCCTTCCTCTCTCTGGTCCAAGGGCCATCTAACCAGGGACCATTTTTACCAGTCCCTTCTGGGCATGGGGTCAGTCCTTGAGAAGGAGACACCCCTGATGTTCACAAGTGGGTTCTCGGGTTCAAGTTCGCTGAGAGCAGGACTGATACTAATATCCAACTGGTGCTTCCTAACCCCGCATTTCCCACCAATCGAGCACCTACCACCCTCCTGCCTTCCATTTCTCTTTATCTTACTCTGAATGACATCTCCTCATTTAAAGTCGATATGTAGATGCCCTGGCTGGTGTGGCTCAGTGGGTTGAGTGCCCACCAGCAAACCAAAGGGTCACCGGTTTGATTCCTAGTCAGGGCACATGCCTGGGATGAGGGCCAGGCCCCCAGTAGGGGGCGCGCGCGAGGCAGACACACATTGATATTTCTCTCCCTCTCTTTCCCCTTCCCTTCCCCTCTCTCTAAAAATAAATACATAAAATATTTAAAGTCAATATGCAGAGATGATATGTGGACACAAAGTGTCTGAGGGTGAACTGAATTGAGAGATTCATTTACTGGTATCATCAAAGGGGGGCGGGAAATCCCATTTTACAAATGAGAAACAGGTACAGAAGAGGCAGCGCCGAAGTGGGGCTGCTCCCGAGGTCTGGAAGGGACGTCCCTTCTCCTCGCTCACGCCTGATCCTTACCCTGGGCCCATGCAACCCCTCACGCTGCACCCCTGGAAGGCCGGGAACCCGATGAGGGGCAGACCCCACCCCCTACGATTTAAGACTAAATAAAATAGAGAAAATAGAGACGCGAGGTTCTCAGGACTGGACAGGACTTAAAGATAAAAGAAAATCCAGCCCTTTCACCCAATGAAGGGGGAGACTCGGGCTCAGAGAAGGAGAGTGACTTGCCCAAGGTCACACAGCCGGCCAGAGCTGAGAGGTGGCTCCAACTCAGCATGATGTGATTGAAAGGCCAAGCATTCTGGTCTCGGGACATTCTTGATTCACATTCCCGTTCTGCAACTCCTGGCTCTGGGAGTCTGGGCAAATCACCTCCTTTCTTTGAGCCCCAACTGCCCATTTGTGAAAGGAAGGTCACAATCCAGGACCCCCTTCTTTGCTGGGTGGCCCTGGTCCGGTCTCTGCCTCCCTCTGAACCTCTGCTCTTCCTCCTACCTGAGTCCCTGGAGAGGGAGGCCTCTGGAAATGGGGGTGGCAGGGCCTGGGGGGGCTGCCCTACCTCCCACATATGTCCTGAGATGGGGCAGTCGGCCCACGAGTGCTCCACGCTGAGGCCCAGCTTCCCGTTGGAGAAGACGATGAGGGTGAAGGATTTGTCATACCAGCTGCAAGCAGAGAGTCCAGAGTGGTCACCCAAGGCGGGGGACAGGAGAGAACTCGGGGTGCTCTCTGAGGGGCCTGTGGGGATTTCAGGGTGGGAAGATTGTTCTGGAATCAGGGCTGGTGTGGGGATCTCTAAGAGGGTGGGGTGTCCACCTGCTGGTTCCGGATGGGCTCTGAGACGTGTCTAGGCTTTGAGGGGTTGGGGGATTTTGAGAGAACATACCAAGTAAGGTTCAAGGCTTATGAGGTGCTGGAGGTAAGGGAGGCTTTCCCAGGGGCCTCAGAAATCAGAGTGATGGCCAATGGGCATCTGGAGAGGCGTCTGAGGACCTCTAAGTCCGGGGGGTCCCAGGTCTGGGGTCTGGGGTTTAGGGTGTCAGCATTCAGGCCTGAGGATTCTGCGGTTCTGAGTCTGAGGTTCCCCAGGCTTGAGGTTCTGGCTCTGGGGATCTCTGGATTTGAGGGTCCAGGTTTGGGATCTTAGGGTCTGGGGTCCTGGGCCTAAGGGTTCCCTGGATCAGAGGTCCCCAGGTCTCAAGGCATTGAGTCTGGAGTTCTCAGATCAAGGGGGTTCTTGGATCTGGGGACGCCCCAGGTCTGTGACCCGGGGTCTGCTTGTGTAGTGTCCAGAGCCTGAGGTCGCAGGTCTGGACGGGGCCCCGGGGCTCACCCACCGGTCATGGCCTTTGCCAGCCAGCAGGGCGTGGGCATACGCATCCAACGACGCTGCAGGGTCCTCCCTGGTGAGCCCCGCGGGCTCAGAGTCCAGCGACACAAAGAAAGCGGCCCCTTCCACAGCCTCCAGGGCGTCCTCTGCCTGGCTTTTCAGGGACTTCCGCACCTGGGCCCACATGTCCCTGTTGGGGGACGTGCCTGAGCCCTTCACGCTGCCCAGTCTGCGCTGGCCTCCCAACCCTGCCCTTCTGTAACCTGGGGGTGGTGGCCGGGCCTCCGGCCCGTCTGACCTCCCGCCCGCACCTGGGAGCCGCGGTCAGGGCCGCCAGATGCTCCTCGTGGGGGCAGGCGGGTGAGGGGTCATCCAGGATTCGCTGAAACTGCTGCTCCAGCGCCCGCGGGGAAAGCAGGCCGCTTTGGGAGTGGGTCCCCACGCGGAAGAATCGGCCCCGGTGGAAGACGGCCACGTGTCGGCTGTCACGGAGGTGGCGGATGTGGTCTTGGGGTGGCGTGGGCAGAAGTGTGGAGGGCAGGAAGGTCGGAAATGTTAAAAGAAAAAGAATAGCAACCCCTTACTATGAGTCACTGCTATGTGGCTGGCACTGTTCTAAGCCCCCATGTATTCCTCACTCCCCTGTGGTTCTTTATTATCTCATTTTCGCGATTGAGGCTCAGAGAGGGTGATAAATTGCTCAGGGTCACACAGCCAGGGAGAGGGGGCTGGGAGTCAACCCAGGCCGCCTGGCTCCCACAAACATACTCAGCTACCACACTGTCCCGCCTCTGGTCAGCAGGGGAACCGGCCCTCACCTTTCCGGACGCCAGGAATCCGCGTGGTGTTGAATATCCTCTCATACTGGGCAGAGCATAAGGGCCGCATTCCCATCAGCAAAGTCTGCGGGAGACCCCGGGCTCGTGAACTGCCCCCCAGGACCCACGGGGCCCCACGGCCACAGGACCCCGGCCTCTGTCCCCAGCCCATGGTGCGGCCCCCTTACCGGCAGGATCTCCTGGCGGTTCAGGCGGTGGCGGTAGAGGAGGAGGGCGTGGACAGCGTTCCCCGCGCGAGCAGCCTGCACCGGCGTGGGCGTGACGTACAGGAAGTCCTGGGGACCAGCCGAGGGGACAGCAATGCCCCTGGGGTCAGGTTTGCACCAGGTGGGGACACTGACCCCCAAACACAGGTCCTGACCCCAACAGAGGGTGGATGGGGAATTCCAGGCTGTGATTTGGGTCACTGACCCTAAACCTCACATTCTACCAAGACACCCCAATCCTAGACCCGGGAACTACGAACCCCACCCCCTCCCCAGCTCCTAGTTCGGTTCTTCCCTTCTCACCATCATGTAATAGTTGCTATTCACCATCAGCGAGTTCCGGGAGCGCAGGTACACAAATTCTTCCCACCAGTCGCTGACCTGGGAGTGCGGCAGAGAGACAGCCCGCTGGGGCGGCTGGGGTCAAGGTGGGGGGTGCAGGACACAGCGGGGGTGGGAGGGGTGGGCCACCGAAGGCTTTACTGTGTCGCACAGGGAAAGTGGAGCTCAGGGAAGGAGGCCAGCATGATCAGTAATTAGCAATAACCTGCAAGGCGCACTGATGCTGTGGAATACTACACAGCTGTTAAAAGGAACAAGGTCCATCTATTACTGACACAGAGTGAGCACCAAGGTATCTGCCAAGTGGCAAAGGCTGGGCACGTGAGATATGCTTATCGATCCCACCAGAGATTAAAAAAAAACCAAAAACAAAACCAAACCAAACCAACAGGTCCCAAGTGTCCCTTTTAACAGATGAGGGGACAATCAAAATGTGGTCTATTCATAGAGTGGAAAGTTAATATAAGAAGGAATGAAGTTCTGACAAGAGGTACAAGCGACAACATGAGGGAACCCTGAGAACATGATGCAAAGTGAACTGAATCAGACACAAAAGGACAAAGAGTGTATGATTCCAGTTACACAGAAAATCTAACACAGGCAACTCAGAGACAGAAAGGAAGCCAGAGATTACCTGGGACCGTGGGTAAGGGGATGGGGGTGTTTTGCCTAATGGATAGAGTTTCTGTTTGGTATGACGGAAGATTTCTGGCAATAGTACTGATGATCACATGATGTTGTGAATGCACTTAACCCTGAATAGTACACTTACAAATGGTTAAAATGGTAAGTTTTGTATATATTTTAAAACAATAATATTTTATATTATATTTATGTTATGTATATTTTATATATTAAATATACTGTGTCATTAATTATATTAAATATATTTTCTATATTATATATAACTACATTATATTGTAATTGAAAATTATATGTATTATATAAATAAAATTATATAAGTTTATTATATTTATATAAATTAGTTATACTCTACATATATGAGGTCTGTCCAGAAGATATCCAGCCAAGTACTATGAAAAATAGAGACATTTATTGAAGAAGATACAAGATACAAGAAACATTGTCCATAGGACAATGACAACTCAGTCCCCTTCAAAGTGGGCACCCTGGGACCTCACACAGTTCTCTCAATTGCCATCAGCTGCCCCATCGTATTTCCCTGAATCTCATCAAAAATCTGAAGTCTCCTTCCTCTCAAAGGTGATTTTAGTTTTGGGAAAAGCCAGAAGTCACAGAGTGTCTGGCTGTCTCTGGGCTGTAGGGGGGCTGAGTCACCTGGGTGATTTGACATTTCTCCAAAAGACTCTGCACCAGATGTGACGTATGAGCAGGTGCATTGTCCTGATGAAGCTGCCAATCACCAGTTGCCCACGGCTGCGGCCTTCTGAATCATCCATGTAGTTTCCGCAGAGGTATGTTCTAGCTTAATGCAAAAGCTAATGCAGATTCATTGCTTTACTCGCTCAGTCATTTTGAATGTGATGGCCACACAGTACACACGCTCACTCAACTGCATCGACCGCCCCCACTGACCAGTACAGTGGAGTCATTATTGGTCATGCATCACGTTCCAGTCAATTCTCTTGGGCTGCCAGCTTATGTCGATGGTGCGCAAACCATTCTCTTTATATTAACAATGGCTGGACTTTTCCTGGACAGACTCGTATATTCCTGGAGATAATTATATGTATATATACACTCAGAAAAGACTAAGCAAAGTGTTTCTCACAGGTGATGGCCAGAGGGACAAGAATTAAAGGGAGGGGGTCAGCCCTGACCGGTGTGACTCAGTTGGTTGGATGTTGTCCCAAAAAGGGAAGGCCGGTTGGATTCTCAGTCAGGGCACATGCCTAGGTTGCAGGATTGGTCCCCAGTCGAGGTACATACAGGAAGCAAATGATCGATGTTTCTCTTTCATATTGATGTTTTCACATCTCCCTCTCTTTCTCCCTCCCTTACCCTCTCTCTAATAAATAAATAAATGAATATTTAAAAAATAAAGGGAGGTGATGTCAAATGTTTTCTAGACATTTTCCTCTCTTCTATGTCATAGTATCTCATGAAATCTATAAAGATATAAATGTTTGCTTGTATCTTAAAGTTGATGGCATCTTACACTTTCTTACACTTAGACCAGGTAGGATGCAGTTGTCATTCTCTGGGAATGTGCAACATCTTCTGGAAAAATCCAGAAGTTTCCAGCAAATGCTAGAAAAGTTATATAGCTTGATCTAGGCAGCAGTTATAATTACATACATACATAAAACTTTATCAAGCTGTATACATTTAAGATTTGTGCATTTTACCATATGTGTAACATTGGAATATTAAAACATAATTTTTTTAAAAGAAAACATCAAAGCTCACTGAAGAGTGTCTATGTCTCCTGGAGAATATCCTGGAGGCGATAACGGAGCAATATTCTAAGCACCAGGTGCCAAATAGTAGGGGAGTGAGGAGGAGATAGTGATGAATTGATCAGATATGGTTAGAAAATCTCCAAAGCAAATCTGAATTTTGTCGATTTTACTAAAAGCCGCTCTAGCATCCTGTGACCAATGGCTTTGGTTATATCACAGAATCTTTCAGGAAATGCCACATCACAAGGTTTTTGACGACAGAGAGGTCAAACCTGTGTGGAAAGCGGGAAGATACAAACAAGTCTGAATCAAAGTGCAAGTGAAAAGAATTGGATTCTGCGCTTCTTTTTTTAATTTTATTCATTTATTTATTAGAGAAGGGAAGGGAGGGGGAAAGAGAGGAAGAGCAACATCAATGTGTGGTTGCCTCGTGTGCCCTCTACCCGGGACCTGGCCCGCTCCCCAGCAGGCGTCCTGACTGGGAATTAAACCAGCGACTCTTTGGTTTAGCCACTGGGCACTCGATCCGCTGAGCCACACCAGCCAGGGCAGGATTGGCTTCTGAATGTGAAAGTGATAGGGGTGCCTTGGCCAGTTTATTATATTTACAGCTTCCTTTTTAAGTTTGCTCAGGAGAGATACTTGATACAAATCAATCTAGATGACCTTGTTTCATACAGCCGGTGCTCAGTAGCCTTGTTCTCTCTATAATGTTGCCGGGAACACTGAATAAGCGAATACTGAACACGAACCACTATTCCTGGGGAAATACAGGGTGAGGTCCCTGCGAGCCTCTGGCCACCACCGCTGTGTCATCACGCAGTCAATACATAAAATGGTGTTACGTGCGTTTCTGCTTTAAGGTACCTTATTTAATACACATCGTTGATTTATTCATATTGATGTTATGCCAACCACTCATGCCTGAAGGAGGCTCATCTAACACCTGTAAGTTTTTCTCTGTCCGGCTCATCCCAGCCTCCCTTCGCTTAGGAAAGCCAGCCCCCACTTCAGCGCTGCACTTGGGGGCCATTTTAAAATGCGAAATCAACAAGAACATCGAAATGCGAACAATGTGAAACTAAATAGATCACAAAAAACGACACGTGTTTTCAGTACGAGAGCCGCAACAAGAAGCCAGAGCCTTCTCCAACCTCGGCTGGGGAAGAGGGCGGCCGCAACTCACGGGCTTCTCCACTCTGCACATGCGCATATCCACGAGTGCCCGGGAAAGTGCCACAGTACTGACTTGGCGGTTACAAATAAATTTTAGCAAGCAGACAAATTGGCAAATCCAGAACCCATGAATGATAAGGATCCGATCTATATAAAAGCCTAAGTGATAATGGTGTATAACTGGCAGTGCCTTAGAGGTACAATGACACATGCATGTTGTGTGCGTGTGTATAAATTTGTTAAGGGCCTTGGCTGGGTAGCATCGTCCTCATACCCCAAAGTTGTGGGTTTGATTCTCAGTCAGGGCACATACAAGAATCAACCCATGAATGCATAAAGAAGTGCAACAACAAATCAATGTTTCTCTCTCTCAAAATCAATTTTAAAAAAAATTTTTAGGAGCAGAGGTTGGTCCAAGAGCATAATGAGTGGGAAAAAATATAAAAACTAAAGCCCGCTTCCATGTACCTCTCCAGACATGACCCCGTGCCCCCCACCAAGCCGATCTGACTGCCTCTTCCATGCTGCTACCCCTTGGAGCTCTGTCCCAGACCCTTGCCCCTTTTCACTCGATATTCTTGCCTCCGATATTCTCATCCGAGTCTGATGTTTCCGTTTCCTTCTGTAGCGGAGGATCGCACCCCCAGCCTGTTTCCGGCGGCCTTGCCCAGGTCTCCGGGGTGTCTTTCCCAGGCCCGTCTAACCTGCTGCCACAGAACTCAACGTCGTGACCACAAAGGCGCTCTCCTCCCCACCACTCACCAGGTGAGACCCGTGGGTGCCGTTATTGCCACCTCCCTCCCCACAGTGTGGCAGTCCCCAGCTCCACCCTCCTGCTTCCTGACACTTTCTGCCTTGTCCCCGCCGTCCCACAGCAGCCTCTCAGGTCTTGCCCTATTCCCCTGGGCCCTCACCCAAGGCTCCCGCCACCGGGGTCCCCCCACCCCAGTCTTTCCCCCACACCAGAGCTGACTCGGTCCCCCTCCTAATGAGAATGCTGCCTTGGCTCCCGAGCACCCCCAAGATATAAAGGCAAACGCCCTCAGCAGAGCGCAGGCCCCTCCCACCACCCCGCTGTCACCTCTCTTGACCACCCTCCTTCAATTCTCTTGTTCCGGTCAGACTAAAGCCTGATTCTTGCGCCCAGCCCACACCCAACAAAACTTTTTACTTCCTCACCTCCGCTCAAGCCTTTCTGCACCACCCTGACAGGTTCAAATTCTCTTCAACCCTCAAGACGGCCCTAACACATCTCCTCCTGGCACCCTGATCCAGCTGCGGCCTCCTCCGAGGCCCCCCACCCCCGATAGTCACCCCACCCCGTCTGTCCTTTCATTGCTACGCCCACCTGCACACCCTGCCCGACGGCGATTTATGGCTATTGCTGAGAGCCCTGTGCGCCGAGCTTTGGGGCGCCACGCCTCAGTTCTCCAAGGAGCTCAACTGATTGTGCAATCAGGGTCCAGCTCCTGAACTCAGCATAGAACCCCCTTTGAGGAAGGTGTTTCCTTGAACAGCGGCTGGGTGAAGGAAAGCGGTTCTGGGGGCGGGGCTTAGAGTGTTAGCTGGCCCGGGGCGGGGCCGACACGGTGGTCGGGTCCCGCAATTCTGGTTCAAATACTGGATGGGCGGTTCAAGGCGGAGCTCTGGATGTGGGCGGGCCCTGGAGGCAGAATTTAGATTATGGAAGAGTCAGGCTTAAACTGAGGGCGCATGGAGGGAGGGGCTCAAACTGTTGGCGGCTGATAGAGTGTTGAGAACACCGTAGCGCACAGACGAGCTCCGACTGTGGGAGCATCTGGGGCTGGGTTTATATTGTTGGAGCGTGGGGGCGGGGCTCCGAATAGTGAGCAGGGGGCGGGGCTCCGAGTAGTGAGCCCATTCAGAATGCTCCCCAGCCTAGGGCCTCCAATCGCCGCAGGGCCTGGGGGTTGTGGGTGGGGCGTAGGGCGGGGCTCGGTTAGGCGTGCGGGCTCAGACCTCTGCCTTCCGAATCCGGGACTCACGTAGTTGGACGCCCACCAGGATTTGAGCCGCAGGTACCACTGTAGCAACGATGCCTGCAGCCTCAGGAATTCCTGTGCTAGGCCCGCCGTCCGGTCGAAGTCCTCGTCCGAAAGGACAGGCCGGACAGATTCCAGGTACTGAGGGGAGAGGCGGAGAAGGGGGTAGGTCAGGCCCGCCGCCCTCGTCGCCCGCCTCTCTTCCCATCCCCGGGGACCAGGCCCACCTTGCGCACGGTGTCCTGCACGGAGGGCACGGGCTGGCGCGGCAGGGAGCGCTGGTAACTGTAGAGCATTGGGTGGCGGCCGGAGAAGATGCGGACCAGGGCCTGGAGGGAAGTGGGAGCTAGTGGGTCATTAAACCCCTCACTGGGCCTGGGGACCTGGGTGGGGTGTGTGTGGCAACCCACAGAGAGAACAGGACAGAGACCCAGAGGGAAGGAGACAGAGAAGTGGACCCCGGCAGGGCCCGGGCGGGGCTCTGCCCCTCACATACCAGCCAAGTCTTGGTGGGCGAGGACATGGCTCCGTGGGGTTCGAGGAGCCAGCCGTGGTAGGACAAGAGCAGCCTCAGAGCCACGTGAAGTGTGAAGATCAGGGCTCCCCACAGACACGAAGCAAACAGCGCGGCCGCCAGGACCCCTCGAAGCCTGTGGTGCTGTCCTCCCCTGGGGGGAGAGAAAGAGGATGGGGCTGCGTCTCTCGGCCTCTGAATCCGCTCCCCTCCAGCCTCACTCGGCCTCTGGCCTTCCCAGGGTTCCCTGAGTCTGGTCTTTGGGCTGTTGGAGGCTTAGCTTGTAGAATCAGAGCCAGTCAGAGAAGTCCGGCTTCCTCATTTTGTAAAGGAAGCGTGATCCTCTCTCTGCACCCTCCTCCTCCCAGGACTAGGGGGACACCAAGCTTCTAAAATCACTTCTCATGAAAATTGGTAGGTGCTTCATAATTGGTATTTCTACTAAAGGGACACTTTTCCTTCCGAGATGGCATATTATACACTTAAGTGTGGCCCTTGGACCAGCAGCATCAGCACCACCTGGGAGCTGGCTGGAAACGCAAAGCCCAGGGCCCTGCCCTGCCGCAGTAAGAAAGACAGTCTACTGGCATGGGGTCCAGCAATCTGTGTTGGTTGTTTTTTTGTTTTTGTTTTTTAAATTTTATTTATTTATTCTTAGAGAGAGGGGAAGGGAGGGAGAAAGAGAGAAACATCAATGTGTGGTTGCCTCTAGTGCGACCCCTACTAGGGACCTGGCCCGCAACCCAGGCAGGTGCCCTGACTGGGAGCGGAACCCGCGACCCTTCAGTTTGCCGCCTGGCGCTCAATCTGCTGAACCACACCAGCCAGGCAATCTCTGTTTTAACAAGCCTTCCCACATGCTTCCCAATGAAACTCAAGTTTAAAAAACACTGGTCTAGAGTAAATCAACGTGTTTGCAAAGTTGCAAAGAGACATGGGAGCAAATCCCACCCGGAGGACTTAGGGCAAGTCACTCCCCTCTGTAGACTGGGTAAATCTAGCCTTCCTGGAAATTTCTGTCTCTGTTCCAACATCTGCCCCCTGCGGCTGTCTGCACAAAATCGGCGTTCCTCCCCAGGGAGACTAATCCAAGGATGACAACCTGCCACTTCATCATCTTCTGGTGGCTGAACCTTTCCCAAAATGACAGCGACAACTGTAATATTACAACCAGTCCCATTTAGCAGCCTCCTGGTCCTGTACTGAATATTCCACAGGCATGATTTTAATTTTTCCAACCACCCTAAGAAGCGATTATTATTACCCCCATTTAACAAATGAAGACCCTGATCCCTAAATTAAAGTCTCTCACCTAAGAGTACCCTGGAGATTAGCAGAGTTCACCCTCACATTAGTATATATAACTGTATTTGGGCATTTTCCAGTTTGTCACCATCCTCCTTAACAAAAAGCAGCCAGGATGGAAAATATACAGAGAAGAGAGGGGAAATCACCTCCTTTTTATTGATGCTGTACCTTTATTAATCTGTCCCAAAGTAGGTCTCAGAAGTTACTTTTCTTGAACAGACACAGCCCATTGACGAAGAAACTTACAGAGCAAAAGGGAAGGGAGTAGGAAGGCAACTGGTCTGAAGTGGGGAGCTCACCAGTCTGGCAGCAACTCTTTAATCTTCTCTGTCAGTCCGAGGGAAGGGTCCAGCTGGAGGAACCAGGCGAGCTGGATTGCACTGAAGAGGAAGAGCCAGCTGAGGGGGCTGGCAGGGAACACACCAGTGAGAAAGTCATTCTGTGGGGAAGAAAGCACATCCATTCATTCCCATCCTCTAAGCCTAATCCTTAGATATTTTTTGAGCCCCCAGCGTGTGCTGGGTCCTGAGCTGGGTGAAGTCAGGGGAATAAATAAGCAAAAAGGCCAACTAGAGCCAGACCAATCCCAGATAAAAGGGAAGCATGAAGCTGACCAGAGAATGATCCCAAACTCCCCTACAGGCTCCTTTTGATGCCTCAGCATGTCAAAGGACACACCTGGAAAGCTGCTGAATAGTCTGTTGGGGCTCTCCCAGGAGAACCTCCCCAAAAACTCCCACCTTTAGATAATGGATAAAAACCCTTAAGAAGACAGACCCAGCGCACACTTTCCCTTGAGCACGCCCACACCTCCGTTTCCTCAGGCGTGTACTTTTGCTTTCTCTTAAACTCTAAGGGTCCCCATGAAACTTGCAACCAGGGGAGCAGTGAGCAGCGGCAGCTCATCCAGGCTCACTCCCTGAACCTGTCTTCAAGGTCCTCCTTTTGCCTCTGTAATTTGTTTCCTGTGTCCGCACAGAACAGCGTGGCTCACTTCTGTCACTCTAACTCGTCTCCTGGGTCCACGCAGCCCAGCGTGGCTCATTTCCTGTACTTCTGTGGCTTCCTTTCCTTCGTCCAGACAGCCCAGCCTAGGCTCACTCCTGTTGCTGTGATCTTGCCTCTTCTATCATACACTCTTCCTTTGTTTCAGTGTCGCCCAGCTTCAATAAATGAACTCTCAAAATCACCTGGACTCATGTCATGAAGTCTTTCCTACATGAAGTCAGGAATCCACACATTCCAGACCGTGCCAGGGCAGACCTGCCTCGGTCTCGGTCCCTTTGTGGTGACAAAGAACCTGAGAAAGGAATTCTGAAGAACTCATCCAAGGCCACACAGCCAGAAAGTGGTGGAGCTAGGATTTGAACCTAGGTCCTCTGGCTCCAAAGTCTACTATCAGCCACTCAGACCACTGGATGCCTTGGGACCCTAATGCGACAGGATATGCTACAAGGCAGCATCCTCTGGGGCCTGTTGTGTCTCCATATATGGAACTGTGTCCTCTTGCTGATGAACTATCTGTTAAATGCTAGATCCTGTGCCATATGCTTGGCCCACTTCGTGTAAATCACAACCCTGTGGTGTAGGTACTGGGACCCCATTCCAGAAAAGCAGCCCAGGATAACGGGCATCGTCCTGACTCTAGAACCAGACTGCTAATTCTGGCTCTGCCTCTGGTTCTGCATCTTAACAGCCGTGTAACCTTGGTAAAATGAGAGCACCTCTCTGGGCTTCTGTTTATTTGTCTAAAAAATGGGACTAACGATAGGTCTACCTATGACAGACCTAGTGAGCAATAGATTTAAAGGGCTTGGTTAGCGCAGAGCCTGGGACACATTACTACCCAGACGCGATTTCAGAAATGAGGAAGCAGCCCTGGCCGGTGTGGCTTGGTTGTGGCGTCATCCTGTAACTGAAAGGTTGCAGGTTCAACTTCCAGTCAGGGCGGATGCCTGGGTTGTGAGTTTGATCCCTGGTCCGGGTGCACCCAGGAAGCAACTGATCAGTGCTCCTCTCTCACATCCGTGTTTCTCTCTCTCTCCCTTCATCTGTCTCTAAAAGCAATGAACGTCCTTAGGTAAGAAGAAAGGAAGAAAAGAGGAAAGAAAGAAGCAAAGGAAGGAAGGGGAAAGAAAGGGAGAGAGAGACAAGAACCCAGAGAAGTCAGCATGCCAGAGGTGGCACAGCACCTACACGATGCATAAGAACGGCGATGCTGGAGCGGTCCCTTCTGTGAGCCAGGCCCGCTGCTTAGACAACTAATGCTTACACCTCGAGGCTGTCAAGGTTCCTATTTTATCAATGAAAACACTGAGGCCTGGCAATGAGCCTATGGCAGCACAGCCCTGGTGTTGCTGAGGGCACAGCCCTCACCCTGGGGCCAAGTTCCAGGAACCACAGCTTCAGGGTGGCTCCTGAGGTCCCAAGGTAACAGAGGAAGGACAGGGGAGCTCCAAGTGACCATCAGGAAGAGAGGTGGCTATGGGATAGAAAGGAAAGAGTGATCATTATTACAATTATCATTTAAATACTGACGGTCAGGGCAGGTGGAGGCCGTTGGTCATAGGAGACATTTGACTCCAAAAAGGGCTTCAGGTCATGCCTCTTACACAGAGGTGACAGTCAAAATACTCAACAGTGCAATTCCAGCCAAAATCCATCTATAAGCACAGAAAGAACAGTGCCCTGGCTGGTGTGGCTCAATGGATTGAGTGCCAGCCTGCGAACCAAAGGGTCGCCAGTTCGATTCCCAGTCAGGGCACATGCCTGGGTTTTGGGCCAGGTCCCCAGTAGGGGTCGCTCTAGAGGCAACCACACGTTGATGTTTCTCTCCCTCTCCTCCCTCCCTTCCCCTCTAAAAATAAATAAATAAAATATTTAAAAAAATTAATAAGTACATAAAACCTTTAAAAAAATTAGGAAAAAAAAAAGTTAGAACAGTAGTTGCCTTGAACCGAGGGGGCGGGGGGGGGGGCACTAACTGGAAAGGCACTCAAAGGCACATTCCTGAGTGGTGGAAATGCTGTCTTTGTGGGGAGTTGGTTGCTGAAGTATTGTGAAAATTCACCGTACATTTAGAATATCTATGCATTGTTCTGTATGTAATCATATTTTAGTTTAAATGTATATATGCTTATTTTTCTTCTCTTTTGCAAGTAGGTGGAGAGCTCCCTGAGGGCAGGGTTTGGTCTGTCTTGCTCCCTGCTGTATCCTCAGTGCCCCGTGTCAGGCCCTGAACAAATACTCCACAGGCATTTGAATAAAGAACAATATTCTCAAAAGGTAACACTGCCCTGGCCGGGCTGCTCAGTGGGGCGGAGCATCGTCCCCGTACACCAAAAGGCTGCAAGTTCGCCCCCTGGTCAGGGCACATACCTAGGTTGCACAGTTCAATCCCTGGTCCCCTGTCAGGACGCATGTTTCTGTCTCTTACTCTCTTCTTTCTCCCTTCCTCTCTCTCCAGAATCAACAAACATTTCCTTGGGTGAGGATTTAAAACCCCCCCAAAACCCTATCACCTTCTCAGCACTTGCATGGGCCAGGTACTTCGCTCAGTGCTTACATGTAAAAATTCATGTAATCCTTGTGACTGTCCCGTGAGCAAGGGGCCATCATTACCCCTGTTTTACATGTGGGGAAACTGAGGCTCGGGCGGGAGCACTTGCTCAAGGCCACACAGCTAGTAAGTTGCAGAGCCAGGGTTCACACCCAGTCCTGGCTGCCCCCACAGACGTTCAGTGAGGAGGTGGCCAGCAGGGAGATTCTGCATGCAGGCAGTGCCGGGGCCCGGAAGCAGACATGGGTTCTGGGTAGACAGTGGGCATGGGCTTTCTAGAGCCAGGGCAAGGAGCAGGAGTTGGGCTTCTCCAGAACTGGGCAGCAGGGTTCGTAGTGTCGGAGAGCACGGAATACAAACTTTGGAGGGTCGCAACCTGAAGCAGAGGCGCCTTCAGGATTGGGGTGTGGGCTACCCAAGATCTTGATTGGGTCTTGGGGTTCTGGAAAGGGGAGCACCCAGTTTAGAGCCTGGAGATGGAAGGGAAAGATGAGAAGTGTCGCTCAGGAAGGGGACTGAGTTCTAGAAACTGGGGTGGAAGTGTGTTTGGCGGTGAGGAAAAAGTGGAGGGGGAGGTCCTGAAACTGGATGCAAGAGGTAAATAGGGGTTCCCTGTAGGTGAGGTTGAGAATCCCTAAAGTGAGCCACAGACCAGGAAATGGCTTTAAGAAGTCCTGGAAGTGGACATCAGAATCCCCAGCACTGAGTGATCCCAGAAGTGGGCCTCAGGCGCGCCGGAAGCAGGTAACGGGATTCCCGGAAAGAAACCGAGCCGCAGCCCTCCTCACCCAGAAACGGGAGAGATGCCTTCTCCAAGAGCGCAGTCCGGACAGATAGATTTCCTGCAACACCGGGCCACTGAACTCCACTTCCGCCCCATCCGAGGTCAGTGAGGGTCGGAAGCCCACGGCTTGGCGCGCTTCAGCCATGTCCCGCTAGACCCCTGGGAGGACAGAGGGTCATTCTCTAAGTCCCCAGACCCCTCCTCCCGCAGACCTAGGAATACAGGACTCCAGCTCACTTTTTCTAAGCACTTCAGGGATCTTGAGGGTCCCGGCCCTACACTCCAGTGCTGGGAAGGGACCTCAGTTGGGGACCTCTGTGAACAGGTACAGAGGCAGGGATAACCCGTGTTAACCCCCTTTTGTGACTCTGCTGAGAATGTGGAGCGGGGGCAGCGCCTCCTCTCAATATAGGACTTTCAAGATTCGGGGGTGGAGGGTGAGTTACCGGGTCTCGAGATAAATATTAGTCCTGGACCCATCTGAAACGAACACCTGCCCGACGCTGGCACGGTCCACCCCATTTCCGTTTCCCATTCCAAGGCGGGACGGGGGGAGGGGGCGGGAACTGTCTCTAAATTCGTCGGCGCTGGGGTGGCCCAGGGTCCCCTCCCCCTCAACCGGGGCTGGAGGGGGTGGGGGAGGGAGCACCCTACTGCGCATGCCTCGCAGCCAGGGATGCTGAAGCTGTGAGCCGAGGCAAGCTTCGAGGACAAGTGATGGAGAGGCTTGTATGCCCAACCCAATACACAGGCCTCCAGCCCCCGCAGTAGCTCGGGCCCCTCAGGTCCGGTACTTACTACGCTGAGTCAGGGGTCCGCCGATCGGATCCTGGGACCAAGCCCGAGCGCACCTCCCTGACCCCCGATTTTGAGCTCCGGACCCGCCTCCCACTTGCATATGTCCAACCCAGTGCAAGGAGTCCAGGACTTGGTCGACGGGCCTCCGGAGCTCCTGACTGTCCCGGATTATCCAACATCCAGGAACCCCGGTTTCTCTCGCGCGTGTGCCTCCCCTGGTATTCAGCGCCTGGCTTTATCCCCGCCCCCTTCCAATCTCGGCCTTCTGTCCCTGCCCCCTTCCAATCCCTCGGCGTTCTATTCCCGCCCCCTTCCAATCCCAGCGTCCAATCCCCTTCCTCCGCTCCATCCCTAGCCTAGTCTCTATCTCCCCCACCTGATTCTCCACCATTTGGCCGCCTGCGTTCTACGCAGCATCTGTCATTTGAGCCCCAGGTTCTTAGGCTCCCCAGTCCGCGCTCTCTCCGAGAGCTCGCTCCTCTCTCCTCAGGGAACGAGGATCAGCTTGGAACTCACAGCCTATCTAAAGTCACGCCCGTGGCGTGTCAAGCTGGGAATCTCAGTCCTACCTTCCCAGGGAGGGTGGACAGCAGCCCTGGGATCGGATGGGCCCGCAAACACCACCTACAGAAGGTGGAACTGCGTGGACCGAGTTGGTGCGAAGGAGGTGCTACAGCGGGTTGGACTCAAGTTAGACAGTCCAAGGGACTTCTGTGAGGGAAATCGCGCATGACAGAGGAGAAAAATATATTAGGGACCGGGCTTTTATGGGGCACAGAAACTGAAACACAGAAATCACGTTGGGTTGGCGCTGGCCGTTAATATTCTTTGTCCATGCTGGCCTGGGTGAGCCAGAGTCCAGGCTCGTCACAACGCCGGGGTGGGAGTAGGGGTAGGGAGGATAGATGAGTTGTTCTGGGTGAGCCCATGTGGAATTAGGGCCGAAAAAAAAGGTTGAGATCACGGCCCCAACATACAGATGGGTAAACTGAAGCCAGGGGAGGCCCAGAGATGTGCCCAACATCACAGCAAGCTGGGCACTGTGCTGGCCTCCTTGCTCCAGGCTGCGTTCCCTGGAGACCATGTGAACTAGGGCTTCAGGCCAGCCATGCCTGTAGCTGTGAGGGTCCTGGGCTCGAGGCCAGGCTCCCGGGAGCTCCTTAGTGCAGGCAGAGCGGAGCCAATATGTGATGTGGCAGGTGGTGCATTTGGCACGTGCCCAGGAAACAGAGGGCTCCGTGGTGCTGGGAAACCTGGTGTCGGGCCGGGGTCTTGGGGAAGGGTAACAGGGTTCAAACGGAAGCCACTGTAGAAATGGGCATCAGTAGGGTAGGGCACCCAGAACTCAGAAAGCGGCATGGCACCACCTGAGATTGCCTTCCCTCTCCACTGAAGCCAAGACCCCGGGGTCACCCCCTCAGGCGCTGAGAAGTAACAGCAGGAGGGTACAGGTGGTCTTTGTGGGGTGCTCCAGGCCTCGCAGGTGCTGGAAAAACTTGAGCAGAGCCGCCCCTCTGCGGCGCAGCCCCACCCCATTCCCGCTGGATAACCTTCTTCAGGTCCAGGGTTGGAGCAGCTCAGTGGAGTCGGGGGTGGGGGGTCCTTACTTCCCAAGAGGGTGCAACAGGCCAGTCCCTGAGCCCACACCACGCCCCAAGCACTAGCACCCGAACTCCGTGTCCTACTCATGAGTGCTCACGGGTGCACTGGTGGTGGTGCGGGCGCTGGCTATGGCACTGCCCCCTCCAGAGAGGGCTGGGGCAGCTGACACCTCTAAACGCTGGGTCAGCAGCTTCCAGGAAAGGGGAGCTTGGGGCTCCTGGATAGGCCTGACTTCACCTCACCCCTGGGGAGACTCCAGGGTCTCCAAGGCCAGGGAACTTCCAGAGAGGTCTGGACAACGGACAGGTGCCTACAGAGCCACCAGATAGGGACCCAAGGGAGTCTGAGCCTCAGCACAGCCAGTATGGACACCATCCTGGAAGACAGGACCAGTGTAGGCGAAGTGCCTGCCCGCCGGCCTGCGCCGCGCTCCAGCTGCAAGGAAGCAGGTGCAGCAAAGGCTGTGGAAAAACACCAGTGTGCTGAGCGATCCGGGTTGTGCGGAGTGTCCTGGGGACAGAGACGCTGTGCCTGCTGTGGAGGCTGGACAGATGACTCTGGGGAGCTGATGCCAGTGGGGCCTGGGCGTCCACCTGGGGCAGGGAGGCTCTGCTGCCCCGAGATGGGACCCCCTCCTTGATCCTCCCACCCCCAGGGCCTGAGCCAGGCCGGAGGACAAAGGCACCACTGCCCCCCTCCCCGGAATTCACTCCCCCACTGCAGGGAGCGGGGCAGCAGTCACTGCCATACAGCCCTGGCATGGCCGTTGGGGGTCCTGGCCAGCAAGGAATAACCTGTGTGTTGGGGGAGGCAGGGGACAGCCTTCTGGGAAACTTCAGGACCTGGTGGTACCGGGCCCCACACTCCAACCTCCCCCAGCCTGGCCATGCGGCTGGGGGTAGAACCATGCCCAGTGGGGACAAATGGCAGGACCCCAGGGGTGAGACAGGGGAATGGGGGTGGCACAGACTCCCCCATACAGGACTTAGAGAGACCTAGACACCAGTGAGGATGCAGACCTACAGCCACCGCCCGCTCAGACTGGCACTCGGCCCCGCTGACGGAACCCCAGCCCCGCTCTGCCCCCAGCACGCCAGGCTGCCCCAGCTGAGGATTTATTGGCGTAAATGTAACCATATAAAAACATAAGTTATGAAAAACACAGTCACGATGTGCCCTCCCCCCAACCGCCCACCCCGGGCTCCAGCCCCTAAAATTCCCTTCCAAGGAAGGGAGAGCAAGGAGGGAGCCCCGAAACCGCCTACGAAGGCCACAGCCCCTGGGCCTGTGCAGGGCCCGCCCGGCTGGGGTGGGAGAAACCAGGCGCCGACTCAGCGCATCCGGTAGTCGGTGGAGCAGGACAGCTCACACAGCTGGCCCTTGAAGTCCAGGTCAATGGTGAAGTCCAGGTCGCGCTGCGGGGAGAGAGCAGACATGAGGGGCACTGGAGACAGGGCAGGCGGGGACCCAGGAGTGGCCAAGTCAGGAGGAAGCAGAGGGGTGCAGGCCCAGCACAGGCGAGATGGCGGGTGTCCCGCCAGCTGAGGCCTGGAGGCGCAGCGAGGGCCTGCTTTCAGCGCACGTCCAGGAAGGGGACCCCGCGCTGCTGGTCCCACCCCAGCATCTGCCCTGACCCTGACTCCCAGCGACCGCTCCATGCGACATGCTCAAACCCACCAGGCCCCCTGGGGACAGAGCTCAGCTGCCCTGTCTCTTGCTTCATGACAACTTCCCCACCGTAACCGTTTCAATCCGTAGTTATTTTTTCCTTGTATAAGAAGAGAACCCCGCCCTGACTGGTGTGGCTCAGTGGGTTGGGTGTCATCCTGCAAACCACAAGGTCACTGGTTTGATTCCCTGTCAGGGCACATGCCTGGGTTATGGGCCAGGTCCCTGGATGGGGGGGGGGTGGGTGCAAAAGGCAATCAATGTTTCTCTCCTTCCCTTCCCCCCTCTCTAAAAATAAGCAAAATCTTAATCTTAAAAAAAAAAAAGGGCAGGCCCCTCCCAGGCACACTTCCTCTTCCCAAAAAACTTGGCAGCAGAACTCCACCGCCCCCACATCCACTCCTCCCAAGCTCCCAGGGAGCCTGTGTTCCCCTGTCCCCTGCAGTCCCTGGAAAGGCTGGGCAAAGTCACCAACGACCTCAACCAGCTCTTTCCCCAGGATTCTTGCTCCACCCTCCCCGCTGCTCCCCTACCCCCATCAGGCGGTCTCTGTCTCTTTAGTTTGGGTTTTCTTACTGCGCCCCCCCCCCCGACTACTGACATTTGGAGCCATTCTTTGTCCAGTGCGTCCCCAGCCTCCTCTCACCAGGTGCCAACACACCTTTCCTCCAGGTTCAAACAACCCCCATGTCTCCAGGGACCACTGTCCTCTGGGGTACAGCAGAACTGTCCCTGGTTGAAAGTCCCTGCTTTAACGGGCTTATCTTCCTGACTTGGAAAGTGGGTGCACCTTGGGCCACGCCCCTCCCCCCGGCTCCCTGAGCTTCATCCAGCCTCATGCACTGGCTGGATGATATTCCCGGCACAGACCACTGCCCGCCACCCAGGAATCCGGACCCTTCCTCCTCCCACCCCCTGGCTGAGCTGCTGACTGCGCCCCAGACCTGCTGCCCACCTCCCCAGCCCCCATCTCAGCGGATGGCAGCTGTGTCCTGCCAAGTGCTCAGGAGGAACAAACGGCCCTCCTGCCGTTCCCTCGATCGCCACACCCAGGCTCCAACACTCGCCCAGGCTTGCAAGCCTGGGCTCTCCCTCTGGCCCCCTTCTCACCTGGCCCGCCCCTTCCCAGCTTGACATAGTCACCTCCAGCTCTCATTTATCATTTGACTGTGTCCTGTGTCTAGACTGGGAGCATCAGGAGGACAGGGGTTCAAACCGATCATGGCTGGGTCCCCAGGCCCCACTTCTGGTAGGCCCCCAACATAATCCATGCGACCCCGAGAGCCCTGGGCAGGCAGAGACGCCTCACTAGCCCACCCCCAGCCGCCCCCAGCCTCACGTTATTCTTGGCATTGGGCCGCATGCCAATGGTGCCGAAGATCTCCTCGCCCGTCTTCACCGTCAGGTAGTCCTCCATATAGAACACTGTCTGCTTCCAGTGTGTGTACGGGGACTCGGGGCCTGAGGGCAGCGACTGGTCAGCCAGGCCACGCCCCCTCCCGCCCTTCCCTCTGCCTGGGACACGCCCCAAGGGACTATTTACTGAATGCTGACCTGCCGCGAATCCTTTAACCCCGCTCAAGCCTTGGAAGGCCTCGGCTACCCTTCGTGGGTCAGGGAGCTAAGGCGCAGCAGGCTTAGGTTAGCCCCGGGGCTGGCGCGGGAACCCGGGTCCTCACTGTCCCCAAGGGAGGCTCCCTCTGGCTGTTCCTGTCCCCTCCCAGTTCCCCTGAACTCACTGGTGGAGAAGCCGGTCCTCTTGTGGCAGCGGGTGAACTCGATGTTGAAGTAGGCCACCAGGGCGTGCACATAGTCGTTCCGCTTCACTTGCAGGCAGAAGGGAGAGGTGAAGGTCAGGTCTTCCACCTTCACGGTGTAGATGTCCACCTCCTGCGGGAGAGGCCCTGTGAGCCCCACTCGGCAACGTG